GGAGCAGAGAGCCTCTCTGCTCCTATGATGCTGCTTGGCCTGCTGTGTTCATCCAGCCCTGCACCTTGTTGTCTCAGTTCCTAATATGACTTGTTTGATCAACTAACACACACCAAATCAATATCACACAACGTTTCATGTCATATCTTGTCCAAAGATATGAACAGATTCTGGTCATAACCACCTAATGACATAAAACAACATATTTCATCCAACTTTTTGATAAGAATTCAGGTAAAAGATAAAAGGCATTATGACATATATTTAATCATTTTCGAGAAAAAAGGGTTCAGAACCAGTGAACTGGTGGATGGCTATATTTAAGATGGAGGACATAACAAATACAGGGAATTGTACATCAGTTATGTTGACATTAGAAAGACACTGCAATCCCACCTAATACAGAACATTGAAGCATATCTAGAAATGAGAAATATAATAATGAATAATCAACATGGATGCCAGAAGGAAAAATTTTGTTTGAAAACTTAAAATATAATTTGAGGAGGTAACAAGAAAAAGTAGAAAACATAAATGCAGTGGATATAATTTATCAGGATTTTGATAAAGCCTACAATAACGTACTTCCTAATAGATTAATAAATAAGGGCAGAGAAGGTGGGACAAGTGGCATAATGGATTCCTAGATTACTTCAAGTCAGAACTGGAAAGCACTAGTAACAGGTAGTTATTCAAAATGATAGGACAATGGGCGATGGTGGATCATTGGCAGGACCACAGCTGTTCACAATGTGCATTAATGATTTGAAATTTGGATTCAGTAACAATTTCTAAATTTGTGAACAGTACCAAAATAGAAAGGATAGTCAATACTGGAGAGAATGGCAGCAAGTTACAGAAAGATATTAATAAACTTCAAAAATGAGCAAACAATTGCCATTGGAGTTTTGTATTAATAAATGTGTGGCAGTTTATTTTCTTAGGACAAATAGTGAGGTTTATTATTACTTGGAAGGGTAAGTCTACATGAGGTCGAAAAACACATGAATCTTGAAATATACCAATCATTACAAGTTCAAACCAAGCACTAGAAAGGCAAAATTGAAAATTAGGAAGTCATACTAAACTTGTACTGAACCTTAGTTAGACCACACATAGTGTGTTGCATGCAGTTCTGGATGCCATATTATAAAAAGAATATATTGAGGGAATTGAGAGGGTGCAGAAAAGATTTACAAGATTGATACCAGGAACATATGCGTATCTGTTTCACTAAACAATTATCCGGCTGGATTCATTTTCCCTTTAAAAAATTGGGGTGACTTAATAGAAGTCTTTAAAGTTATGTAAAATTTGATTGAGTGAATATAGAGTGTGTGTTTCCTCTTGCGGGCAAGAGGAGATCCAGAGGTCATCAAGGTAGGGAGTCACTAAAATCCAATGGAGAAGAAACTTGTTTGACTAAAGAGTTATGTGAATGTGAAACTTGTCATCATGGGGAGTGGATGAAACTAATAATTTTGATACATTTAAGGAGAAGCTGGACAAGAAATTGAAGGAGAAAGGAATAGGTGATTATAATCATAGACTTAAATGAAAAAAAAATGTTTGGAGGCAGAAGTGAAGCATAAATAATGCATGGACTTACTTTATTGAATTATTTGTTCCTGTATTGTGTAACCTACATAGTCCTGTGCACAGATTTATATAAATTACAGCTTTTCAAACTGCAATAATAGGAGATTCCAGTGAACCCACAGAGAGTAAATTGCTATCAGCAAGTCAGATTTTATTCTGTGGTTGTTCAATTACTAAAATGCTCAGCTGTTGCTTTGTATTGTGAGGGAAAATAATTTTAAAGGCAACTAACCCTAACTAACACAGAAAATAAACAGAAAACTAAACTGAAAGGGAAACAGAACAAGTAAACAAAGAAAGGAAACTGATTCTTTCAGTTTACAAAGAAAGAAAAATAAACTTAAAGCCTCTGACAAACTGACCTGTTTAAATTATGTAAAAGGACACTGATCAGTCCAAGCTCAACAGGTCCAGCTGATGAGTCCACAGACACAGTACAAGCAGACTGAAGAAGACTGAAGAACGCAGAGTCCAAATCCAGAAAGACAGAACATTTTGCAGCAACAGTATCTGTTACTCCAAAGTAACATTGCTAGGTCCACCCAATCCAGACTAAGGTGAGCAAGTTCTGCAAAAGTATGTGCAATCTACCGTGCAGATCTTGTCCATAGTACCTGGGTAGGTTATGACTTGCTGTCACCTGGAGGTCAGACTAGCTTCAAGGAGGAGAGGAGCTGAAATTCTTCAAGTGTAAAACAAAGTTTGCAACTGAGTGTGATCACTAAAATCTGAGTGGACTGATGAACCAATTTGTTAGATCTGTCTTAGCATTATCTGCCATTTAAGGTGCAAATCATAGTTTATATTCTGACCATAAATTGATGTTTAACTCTCATTAATTTTGAATGTTAGGGTATAGGATAGATTATATTTAGCACTTACTTTGTTGAGTTTTAAATTGTAAAAATTATCTTAATCTTGAAGTTTCATTCTTTTAGTAAATAAAGTTGGTAAAATTCAAAAACTGTAGTTAAGAAAAAAGCTTATGGGTTTCTGCTGAGATCATAATCACACTGACATTTTCTGTACTGTTTCTCTTTCAGTCAGTCACTGATAGTTTCTGGGATGTCTTGTTCAGGTATACACTATTGTTTTTAGGGGTCTTTACAGACAATGTTCCAAAACTATTCATGTCAGTAATCAAATAATTATTCATGCATTTGCTTAGGTTTAAAATTATGTTTCTTAAATTTATGAATGGTTATAAATTCTAAAATCATCATTAGAAGAGTTTGAGTTTGGTATAAATTAAAAATATAGCTTTTCATACACATGCCCTTTAAAAAAATAAATAATTTTAAAGCAACAGTTTTCAAACTGCACCAATTTTCTGGGAATAGCTTTTCCATTGAATAAAAAAATCACAGCTACATGGTATGAAGAGGGTCTGCAGAAAATAATACAATTCAGTGAAGTAAGTCTACCCAAATAAAGGTACCTCAGAAAATGATTATCTGATTATTTTCCAGTATCTCCCCTCTGTTCTTATTGACTTAATTTAACACTGATTACGCACTTAACATTTACATTAAAAAACGTTTGCGGTGAAATTATACTCACAAGCAAATTATTAATTTAAAACCCAATTCGTCTCATTATAGTCCACTCTTACTCACAAACTGTCTTCCCCTCTACCATTTCCTTACCATTAGTTGACCTGGAAGGTTGAGACCAGATTCTATTTTCAGAAATATGGCCTTTGTTCTCTTCAATAGTGCTACAATCAAAATTTTCCTCAGGTACTGACACTTCTTGGCTATTAGCAGCAACACTCCTGAAACAAAAATCACACAAATAATGCATTCACTAACAGTCTTCATTATTGCTCTCGAAAGTTGTAATGCCCGAATGGAAGTACTTCGTTGAACCTCATTACCAATATATAATAAAGCCCAAAGCTATGGTAGACCAAAGCCTTTTTGAGCCATCAACCTCAGTGAAAAATACCTTGCTACTCTGTTTTTCTTGCCCCACATTTAGTAATTTTAACTTGCTGAAAGAAAGCAGACCAATGTATACAAAAAGTGCTATTCCTGTAATGTTAATCTGAGGGCAGAATGTGTAATAACTTAATGTTGGAAACATCCACCGTAATGAAACCTCAGAAAGTGGCAGTCGAAGGTATCAGGAAGAGACCCCAGTGTCTTCTTCCTGCTAGGTAATACTGTCAGTAAACACTGGCCATCTCCCAGCGAGTTTCATGAGAGGTGTGGGTGCCTTCCTTTATGTTTGCTCCATGTCAATCATGACAGGGTCCCCAGGAAGCATTGCCTAGCCAAGTGGCTATGGTGCCACTACGGGAGGGTGCACCATGCTAACTGCAGGATTTATACACTTGTCCCAAGCTCAATTAAAAAGAAACTGACTTTGTTATCAAGAATACCTCAATGTGGAGATACCCTCGACTTCTCTCTGTAATGTCTCGAGGTGGCCACCTCTATCAGCAGCATTACCCACACTACTGGTCCTCCGATCAGGCTAGCAGCTTTGGGAGGCAGGTTGCCACCCTCGACTCAATGCTGTTCCAGTGGCAGCTTCCTAAACGGCCACTGCTGGTAAAACATCACCCAGGTCCCGATGCAGTACATCCTGCTCTTTCAGATACATTACTGCCCTAAAGCCCAACTAGGTGATTCAAGTGAACTGGAAGTTACTTTAAGACAGAAAAGTTAAAGGATCAGGTGTAACAAGAGATTTAAATGTACTTTATACTGGATTGCAGTGATCAAACATTTTTAACGAAAAAACATCCAAAATAATTGATTAAAAATTATCATAATATCCTGCAATGTCCCTTAATGAAAACATACTTCCTAAAATAATCATATTTAATTATTTGCATTTCATTCCCCTTACAGCTGTCAATTAGCTTTATAGCTATAATTAAACAACATGTTGTTGTTGAAGAGAATCATCTTATTTAAAAAGGCTGTCACGAATCATTCAAGGTTAACGTACTACTATCACTCTATTACAGTAATAAAAAAAGACAATTAAATACATTTTTATTGAGTGTAACAAGGTGTAGAGCTGGATGAACACAGCAGGCCAAGCGGCATCAGAGGAGCAGGAAAGCTGACGTTTCGGGTCTGGACCCTTGTTATCTCAGATTCTCCAGCATTGGCAGTTCCCACTATCTGTTTATTGAGTGTGCTGTTATTCTGGAAATAATTTACAGTTAAATAGAAGTTTGTACTGCTATGCAACTATGTATATACAGCACAAAGTCTTGTTACTCCACTAAATATGCAAAATGCATTCAATTATAGCGTATCTCAAATGCTAACCAATACCTGCTCTGACTGTTGAATTTCACTTGCTCATCAATGCACTTTAAATTTTCCTGTAAACTTCGAATTTTGGCCTTTTTCTCATTTAGCACCAGGGTGAAACGTGAATAGAGGTCTTGCTCTAGCTCTTCTTTAGCCTTTACATATTTCTCCAATCTAAAGTGAACACATGAGAAGAAGTGTTAAAAACTTGAAAAATAAATAATATTTCATGGAACATCTTTGTCTTTAAAATACAAGTTTTTCTTGTCAGGAAACCTGCACATAATGATTTTAAAATTATTCATCTTTACGTTACCAAGGTGTGTTCACGTTCTGAAATGCAGTCAGTCATTACAGTCGCAAATATAAACGTGGCATGATTCTTACATTTTAGGACATCAGTAAATTAAATTGAAGGAATTCATATGACCTCCCTGACAGCAAGGTTGGGTGGCCTGGTTGCTACGGGTTAAGGGGACCCCACATTGATTTACTGGGAAGAAGGTGCAAAATGTTCCACCGATGAACAATGGCAAAGCTATCTGCGTTGGCAAAGCTAATCAGGCTGCAAAGATTATATTTTCATAAGTGAGACAACCTAGGCAAGCAGCTGTTGATTAGACTTAAGCATAAAAAACAAAGGGCTGAAAGATTGCAGAGGTGGACTTTGTCTCACCTGTAATATAAAACAATTAGGAAAAACTCCTAGGCATCCATGTCAACTCAATGCCAACTCATACCTCTACCCATCCCCCATTATACCCTGCATGGTAAGTCAATGCCGGTGATGCTCTGTCATACCACCACGGCCCCTCACATCTTTCATGATATTGAATGACAACTCATTCCCTCATGCATATCCCAAGGCCCCTCCGACTCTCTACTCCAACTCAATGCAAACTCATGCCCAACCCATGGACTCCACATTCCCCATGTCGTCTCATGACCCCATGTCATCTCATCCAGTATCGATGGACAAACCTTCACATCCGTGTGAAGATGAAATAAAATAACTTATAAAAATCTAAGGAGGTTCTTAGTCTACACACTTGATAGTGAAAAATCTCCCATTCACTGAGCCCAATTTTAACTTTTTAATTCCCAAGTAGTCAATATCTTATAAGAACAACTACTAATCATACCCCATGTAAAAAGCCACTAGCCTTTTAATAATCTTTGAACATAGCTGAGAATTCAGAACTCCTGCTGAGATAATTGTTAAGTTTTGAAACTGAGCCAAGGTTGCATGATGACATAATAAAGCCTTCAACAAAATGTCAATGCCACATGAAATACCCAGCTGGCCTGTCAATCAAAGCAAACAGGAGACTTATTTTTTAAAAAGACACAGCCAGTTTTTGTCTTTCGTTTAAAGATTGGCTTATTTTACAAAAGTCAGATCATGACATTTAAATGGACTTTATTCCTTCAACAGCACTTGTATCTAGTCTATGAATCTTAGACTCCCACACTGCAGGCCAAAGCACTTGAACAACAGCCACAATGGAGTCTATTTGAACTCAACACCAAGTTCAAATGGCCTTGATGAGTTCAGGGTTCTCTTCTGTATGAATCTCATCATGCCCTCTTTTTTCCTACCAGCAACAATAGCATCCGTCAGAAATGGGGCAGGATATTTGCAACTGAATTCCAGTCAACATCTGCAAAGACTTCCTGAAACTGTTTCCCTACCTACAGGTGAAGCTAGACCTGCTAAGTATTTCCAGTATTTCAGTTCATAGTTCACATTTCCAGCATCTGCAGTGTTTTGCTTTCACTCTAGCTTACTCTTATGCACAGGCACATACACAAGGCCACAAGCAATAGGAGCAGCAGTCAACTGTATGTGCTCCACCGTTCAACATGATCATTGCTGAGCCATGAAATGCATTTGCTGTGGTAGAGAAGCCAAAGATTCTCTGAAATGTAACACTCACTCAGTTCTAAAGCTGTTAGGTGGCAATATTCAATTCTGCTCTGCCACAGGGATCGGGTTTTTTCCAAGATTTTAGTCAGGTCAGTCAGGTTACTTCTGGGGTGACTGAAAAATAGATCCAGGATCATAGATATTTGGAGTGAGAGAGAGACCGTGAGAGCGAGAGAGACAGTGTGTGCGTGAGAGAGAGAGAGAGATAGAGACAAGGGCAGATTGCATGTTAGGAGTGCTGTTTTTTTTAAACTGTTCTGCATTGAAAGTGCCAAAAGCAATGAATTCATGAAATTACTAAGCAGCTAAGAGTTGGAATCAGAACTCAGAAATAATCCTGGGGAGCTACAAAAAGCGTAAAGGTCACTAATTCTGTGTTGAGGGAAGCTGCAAGGGGCTCGAAAGAAGCCTGAGACCATTAACAATGCAGTTGAGACAGTGAGGATTGAAAAGCCACAAGCAATATTTGCTTGTTACAACTGAGCGATACTAGAACTCAAGCAAAACCCAGGGACATTTCTAGCTTGGTGAATTTAGCTATTGGCACAAAACTGCATATCGTGTCTGGTAGCAAGTACTGGAGTGCACTTTTGCTGGAGTGTACACTAGGAATGGAATATGCTTGATCAAAACAGGAGCAGAACAACAGGTTGAGGCAGTACATGATGAATGACTCTTGTGGGAGAGTTTCCAGGCCAGTCAGCAGAAGTGAAGCTTAACGAAATTTGATGATCCATTGTGTAATTAACATCTGGGAGGCCAACTGCTGAGAATTACATGGCATTGGTTTTGATTGCATTTGCTTTTTGATGTGCAAAGAAGGATGTTCGGTCACAGAATACTAAACAGGTTTACATGCTAATTCTGGTTATTAGAAATAAGCTGTTCATGTATTCTAGATTGTATTATTGATTGATTGATTTATTGTCACGTGTACCTAACTACAGTGAAAAGCTTTGTTTGTGAGCAGTACAGGCAGATCATAGTAAGCAAGAACAGACAGACCATAGGCTGAAAAAACTTGGACAGAGTAAGGCATGTAGGCATTGTTGTACCTTCTTGACTGTCACGTCTACCTGAGAAGTCCAGGACAGATTGTCAGTTATCGTCATTCCTAGGAACTTGATGCTCTCAACGCCCTCAAACTCTGCACCATTGATATCGATGAGAGCGTGTTCTCCTCCTTTCTTTCTGAAGTCAGTGATCAGTTAGAGATAGTAGGAACTGCCGATGCTGGAGTCTGAGATAACAAGGTGTAGAGCTGGATGAACACAGCAGGTCAGGCAGCATCAGAGGAGCAGGAAAGCTGACGTTTCGGGTCTGGACTCTTCTTCAGAAAAATTTCTCTGATGCTGCTTGGCCTGTTGTGTTCATCCAGCTCTACACCTTGTTATCTCAGCGATCAGTTAGTTTGTTTTGCTGACATTGAGAGAGAGGTTGTTCTCACTGCACCACGTCACCAAGCCCTCCGTCTCCCTTCTGTCCCTGACTCATTGTTGTTTGACATCCGGCCTACCATGGTGGTGATCATCAACAAACTTGGAGATGGTGTTCGTTCGGAATTTGGCAACACAGTTGGGGTACATAGGGAGTACAATAGGGGGCTGAGAACGCATCCATGGGGGGCTCCAGTGTTGAGGTTCATTGTGGAGGAGGTGCAATTGTCAATCTTCACTGATTGCAGCCTGTGGGTCAGAAAGCAGAGGATCCAGGTGCAGAGGACGGAGCCAAGTCCTAGGTCTCGGAGTGTTGAGATCAGCCTGGAGAACGGCGTTGAATGCGGAGCAGTAGTCGATAAGCAGGAGTCTGACATAGATGTCCTTGCTGTCCACATATTCCAGGGATGGGTGCAGGGCTAGGGAAATGGTGTTTGCTGTGGACCTGTAATGTCGATGGGCAAATTGCAAGGGATCAAAATAGGCTGGGGGACAGTGTTGCTGTGGGCCTACTGTGGTACTATTTGTATAGTAAAGTATTGTTATTTGTTCAAAAGCGTGGAACTGCATGTCTTTACTCCCTCAGTAAGTCCCCTGGATCTCACCTTTTGTCTATATTAAAAATAAAGGTTATTGATGCTTAATGAGATCATAACACCATTTAGTAATCATATCTGAGATCATAACATATAGTTGGTTATTGGTCAGGGATCATAATGTATTTCAGCTCCATTTTCCTACCCGCTCTCCATATCTCACAATTCCTAGTTAATAGGCATAAATCAATGGTCAGAGATCAGAAAATAATTAATCGACCATTTTCTTAAGGTATAGCGCAAAATTGCAGGAACATTTCAGAAAAGGCAAAATAAAGAAATAAGAAAATAACCAAAACAATTCAAAACAGTGCTGTTGTAATTGAGGTTCTTTGCATGACCTGTATACAATTAACTCATCAATAGTACTGAAAGCTAAACTGTTTTTAACTTTACTGTAATAACAACGATAATCAGAGTGATTTTGTGATTAATTTGAACATTTGGTATTGATTAACGAAGTTACAACATCCCTTCCTTTAAAAAAATTTATGATCACATTTGTTTCAAAATGTATTTTAAAGCCGATTTACTCCTGAAAATAGGATTAATAATGCTTTGTAATGTACAAACTAATGGACAATTCATTATGCTCGCAGTTAAGCTGGACGTAATAAAATTAAGGCCTGCACTGTGAATGGCCTAACTTTGACCCAAAACCTACAACCCAAAGATGTTTACTTTTAACTGAATGAAAATACGTCATTAAAACATTTCCACACTAAATCAGTCATTAAAAACCAGATTAAGCCAAAACTGGTGGAATTACTAGCATAAAATATGATTTGAATTATTAAAAAAAGAATCTTTGATAATTCATGGACCAATAAGAACAGTCTGTTAATTACTATCAAGGTCTTCCTGAGCAGTATTGGTTCAAATGACTGTGGGACTCCAGCTGTTTCTTCTAATTATCCTACATTATATCACTCCATAATGTGGCTTCAGATTTACTTCAGATATTCAAGGTCATCCTTTTTGTTTAACGTTTATCTAAGGGCATTAAAAATATTACAGTTAAAGTAGACATGGTTTTGATATTCTTTGAAAAGCAGCCACATGCAAACAGTTTGCAGATTTTATACCTCTATCAAAAGACAAATTTTCAAAATAAACCATTTGTAATAAAAATGTAATTCCAAACGACCAATGTTATCACAGATCTTTGATTGATGGAAACCGACAACATACCCTTGTCTCAGCCATTCAAAAGCT